GTTAGCAGGTTTGGCCCAGTCAGCATGTAGTGCTAACGATACCAGTCCTTGCTGTTGACTGTAATGTTCCTTCTCATATAACCTCCAGGCTTTTGCATGAGCCAGAAGAAGGTTATGAGCTGCCAGATGCTTGTCTTCCCCACTCGAATAAACGTCTACAAGTCTGTTTGGCTCATTAATAGTGATCCAGTTCTGAACCCAGGGACCCAGCTCCTGGTAACAAAGTGCTGCATATTCCTGAAAAGCGTTCACTGTGCTGTAATTGAGCCAACCACCTGAGGCATGCAGCGGCACAGGTAAACCCAGATTTGGAGATCGGTGTGTTGGGTAATAAATAACCACAAGAGCCTCAAGATCCCGCTTCTTGAGTTCGGTCACGATACAGCGGTAGTATCTTTGTAAAAGTAAAGAGTGTAGACACAGAGAGACTGATTCAGGCAAAGTAAGTGCGTATGAACTCGAAATTGCTCTGTCAATAACCGGGGTGTGACTCAGGTAAAGTTACAGGTATAACATGAATTGTGTTATTTGAATTGTCACTGTGTGTGTGTGCGCATCTTTACCTCAGAGCTTCTGTGTTTACATTAGAGAGGTCTCCTTGGGGTAAAATCAGAGACCAGTTTAGAGCGAAGCGATAGTGAGATGCCCTTGTCGATTCCAGCAGGTTAAGATGATCACGGATAGCCAAATAGTCTGTGCACTGTGCTCGCCTGGTCTGGAGCTTCACCCCTGGGACCTGATGCAACGATCCGTCACCTGTCAAGTTCCAACTGTACAAATGAGGGTCAGTAAACTGTGGGGAGAAAGGGTAGAAGTTGACCTACAAAAACAAAACAAAACAATACAATTAAAATGTGTTCTTTAGGCGTCCGGAGCATTATTGAACATCTTCCATAGCTGATAATCATAAAGTCATGTTACCTGTAAAGTGGAGTCTGCAATACCCCAGTGAAAGTTGCAGGGGAAATAGCCTTTCACCTCTTGCGAGGTTTCATCACTTGGGAAGCCATTATCATTAACTATTTCTCTGTAGTACTGAGCGGTGCTCTTGGGGCTCCTAGTTCTGTTTGGTTGGCTGAAGTCCACATAAAAAAGGCCTCGTCTAATACTATACCCATAATTCCACTCAAATCCATCCACTAAAGACCAGGCCATGTATCCAAACACCCGTACACCGTCAAGGTTAATGGCTATGAAAGAAAACAAAGTAATAATAGAGTAAGATAGACAAATGTTTGTGTCTCAATGACTTTATTGTCTAACTCATATTTATTTGTTCTTCCCAGCGTTCTGCTTACCTCGCAAGACTTGGTTGATAAAGCTTTTCATCAGATAGATGCCCACTGTGTCTTCCTTTCCTACAGTGGCTTCAGAGAACCAGCCTCCCTCAGCTACTAAGACACTTGGATTCCCATATTCCAACTTTATCCAGCCCAGGAGTCGTCTTAGGTCTGGAGTCACCGTCTGCCCGTAGCTGATTACACTCTGCCCCAAACGGAGGTTGTTAGGCCCAAAGGATAGGGCGAAAAAGTCAGCTGTCTTCTGCACCCAGAGCTTCTCTTCAGGGGTGAATGCTGGCAGAAGAGCCCCAAGCTTGGTTTTTAAAGAGACTGGGTAGTCCCCATCACCAAAGATGGGACTGGCAAACCAGCCCAGTGCTGCCTCTATTGACTCCTGACAGAGCTCAGCACTTGCATCAATGGCTTTGCCTCTTTGAGGTTCCACCCAGTGGGAGCCCAAAACAATGGACACTTTACCCTTCTGAGTTGTGCGGAAGTTGGCGTTGTAGGCATGCCATGCTTTAGCGTGAGCCTGGAAATAACAGCAGACACATTAGTGTGATGTTTTTAGTTTTGTTGTTTTTTTTCCTGAACATATTCACTGTAAAATAAACTTATTTGACTCAGCAAAATTTACTGTGTCTCTATGAAAAGCACAGGTATACATAACATAGTTAATTCTGGATAAGGAGAGGGAAAATGAGAGATAAGAGAGTAATTATGAAAACAATTACATATAAATGGTTATTTTATTTGAATTTTTTTTGGTTTTGTTTGCTCACTGGGCGCTGCAGGTACACCATCTGTGCTTCTTTGCGTAAACTGAAAGTGATTATTAATGAGGCATGTCTCCCCGACTTCCTGACACACACCATTTTTCTCCAGTAGACAAGTGCTGATGTGGTGGACTTTGACCGCAGTGTCTCTTTAACTGTCGTGTTTATCACAAGCCAATCAATATAAATAAAATTGACGAGTCATCAAGGAGATAAAACAAAAAAACAAAACAAAGCAAGCAGCCAGGTTTTGCACTTGTTTGCACTAGTTTTATATGCCCTGACCAATTTGATTGTATTAAAATGAAATATCAGGGCTTTCTTGCTTCACTGTCCTCTGACCTAAAATCACTCGAGCAATATACAGATTCACTGTCTATCGTAAAATGATAAAGCTGTGAGAGTTCAAAGTTTACACAGTTTGTGTATGTGTGTAACTGGAGATATTCTTCATATCGCTGGCGTTGCAACCAAAACAGATGAGGAACACGAAGAGTAAAAATTACATACTTGTGAGAAATTTGACAAAATCTGCTAGGTCCCCATGTGTAACTGACCTTTATCAGATTGTGTGCCACAGTAAGAGAGGTGGCAGGTCCCCCTTTTTCTCCAGGAGCATGGACTCCTGTCCCGTATCCCTGTACAGCCACCAGGTAGGGATTATGCATTGTGAGCCAATACCTAACACGACTCCCAAAAGTGTGGAAACAAAAAGTAGCATACTCCTCGAAAAGTTCCACCACAGTTTCGTTCTTCCAGCCTCCATAATCCTCTTGCAGCACCTGTGGCAGGTCCCAGTGATGGAGAGTGACGATGGGCTCAATTTTCTTTTCCAGAAGCCTCTCTATGAGGTAGCTGTAATGCTTCACAGTAGCAGTATTGGGCTGACCTCTGGCATTTCCATCAGGAAAGAGTCTGGGCCAGGAGAGAGAAAAAGAGTATGACCTTACACCTAGATACTCCAATGCTTTCACATCTTCTTCCCATCTGTTGTAGCTGTCACTTGCCACATTGGCAGCCTCTCTGTCCATGCTGCCACTGACAGAGGAGTGGGTGAAACTGTCCCAAATTGAGGCACCTTTCCCATTCTGGTTCCAGGCTCCTTCTGTCTGGAAAGCAGAAGTTCCAGAGCCCCAGAGAAAGCCTAGAGGGAAGGTGTCATGTAGAAAAGATTGCCCTTTGAGTGTGGGATCCGGTTTGGGCTGCTGCCAAATATCCCTGCCCTTCCCAAGAGAGCAGGTTGCCTTGTTCCAAGAATATAAGGAAAACAGGAGAGAAGACAAGAGGAAGTGACATTTGGGCTGGTTCAGCATACTGAAGGTTTCTACCTTGATTCCAAAATCCACCTTAATGAGACAGCTGATGTCAGTCCGTCAGCGCACGTTTGAAAATAATGCATTCCTTTATGACTGATAAGAGATCCATAATGTGGGTGAAGAAGAGGCTGAAGTGATCAAAGCGAGCAGAGTGGAACATTTGAAGCTTCGAGGTTTTGCGCTCTCCATCTGACACCCTGCGTCCCTATCTCTCACTCCCAGTGTACTTCTGCTCCCACTCAACCCCTCCCTACCACATAACGTTCACACATACAAAGGTTGACTCATGTCCTCACATACTTGTTTTACTACCGAGGCCATTCCGGCTCATTAATTTAACCCGTCCTTCAAAAAGCGCTTGATTATTCTTGGATCTCAGCCAAATTAATAAAAATAAATAAATAAAGAGTCATAATTCAACACAGCTAATAAAGATAATAGTGAGCTATCTTTCAAAGGGTGCATAGAGACTGACTCAGAGCTCTCAGGCACATGCTGATTGCTGTAAAGAACATTTGTGTCAATAATTAGCTTGTACTCTGATCTTAGCTTCATAAGAAAGACTTACTGCACATTACAAACACACACACTGTATTTTGTAATCACTTGCATTAGGGGATTTCAGCTTTCTAACAAATCAGCAACGGCACATTTTGACACATTTATTAAATAAGAGATAATCTTACACTGTGACGCTGAAAAAACAGGCTGTTTTCTGTTTTCTTACAGCCAGAAGCTTCTAATCACATCAGTGTTCTTTTAGGATTTGATCAAACTGTGCCAGGTGGGATTAGTGACACTGGCTTATAAGACAATATTCAATTAAGCTCCACTTGCTGTATGCGTAGCAGTCGCTGACCCAAGGCAAGATTAGCACTGCCAGGCTAGAAACACTGCTGGGAAGAAGGTTCATGCAAATGTGTGTGTGTGTGTGTGTGTGTGTGTGTGTGTGTGTGTGTGTGTGTGTGTCTGTGTGTCTGTCTGTCTGTACATACACATAGCTTCCCTATCACAATAAAAAGCCATTTTAAAAGAAACCCTTTCTCATCATCCTTCATTAACACAGTGTCTAGAGTAAACAACACAGTGGACCTGAAGCCACTCTGCTTCAAGGCATTAGTGCGATAAGTCAATTGAGTTGGAAAATGTTCATGTACTACCCAGGTGACCTCGGTGTGGTCGCTATGATACAAGAGAGCTACCTCAGAAACACTGTAGTTTAGCCTTCTCATTCATACTTTTCACAACATAGTAGAACAAACTAAAGATACAGTATACTCATGGCATTGCTTAGTAAAGGCCCATTTCATTGATTTTTAGAATATTTTAAAATCAGTTCATGTTTCTCAAACTACAGACCAACGTCTTTTAGGGTGCCAAAACAAAAAACAAAACAAAATCTGAAGTATTAGTTTGCTTAAAACAATAACGTAAACTAAATCCAAGGAACTGATTTCATTACTTTCACTAGCTCCGCTTATTTATACATTTTTATCACAGTTTACTTCTATAAAATACACTGTTACATAAAAAGGGAAGTGAAAAGAGGATGTTGAAGTGAGAAAAGCATAAGTAGTCTGGGAATTGCTTTCATTTCTATGCCTGTTTCCGCTCAGCTTCATGTTGTTTTTACTGTAACTTAAAAACTATTAGCAACTACTGCTGGAGCAGTGCTAACGCATGACTTTTGGTCACATTTAATCCAAATTTTATTTGGTGGTATACCTTTCTCGATCAGTCAGTTTTGTCTTACTGATTTCCTTTTTTCCCCATATCCAGAGATTTGGAACCACTGTGACTCTGATGATTTTGTACGTGAGACTTAAAAACGTGACCATCAGACCACAATAAAGGTTAGTGCTCTTTTTTTTATCCGTCTATGAACTAAATGGTGTTTTCCAGAGTGGTTTTTTTATTGTGGTTTTGGATTTTTTTTATTTTATTTTAATATCTAGATTACATGAGTCAAGAAAAACACTTAATTGAAAGTAATCTAAAATATGACGATGTCAAATGTCTGCTTTTAAAGTTTTGGTGGGATTTATGAATGCATAAATAATCATAAACTCATACCATGATATGAAATGGCAGTATTTTATATTTATGACAGTATTAACATTCCCTTTTTGCTCACACTGTTTTTTGATATTTAGAAAAAGCAGCTTTTCTAAATGTCTATTTGCTTTCTTTGTTGTCCCCAACAATATATATATATATATATATATATATATATATATATATATATATATATATATATAAATAGATTCCAACAAAACTGACACCAAGAAAACCACGGGAATTAAAGAAAACAGAGCAACAATTCCATGATAAGCACACAGCAAGCCACATTCACAAAGGAAAAACTCACTTCCAGAAAAAACGGTAAACCAAACCAATTAGAATTTAACCAGTTCAAAAGAATTAAAAGTAAGTCTGATCTTAAAGAAAGTAACCAGTGTTGTTCCAGGTAAGTTCCTTTCAAAATGATGTTTTCACATCACTCTGGCCTGTTCCTTAAATTTCTTTCATCTTTCTGCTCAGCCAAATTTCTTTTTAGCCTTGATGCTTTTAATACACGTCTGGCATATTTTTAGTATACTGACTAAAATCAAAAAGTGTTACATAAACTATTTTTTTTTAAACCCATAAAACCCAGTAATATTCTAGCAGCAGAAAAATAGCGCACAATAACTGAAATTTACCGTGTTTACATTTGTCATCATGTAAAAACACAGAAATTGTCTATAATTAAAATACACAAAAAAGTCCATATTTTTTTTTACGTTGTATTACATTAAAATACAGTTCTTTTAGGTGTAAATGGAAATTAAACAATATTAGAAATATACAGAAAATGTTATTGTAATTACATTACAGATCTTATCAAGTGCATACTGATGGATGTGAATATTGAAAGAGTTTAGCTAAATAAAACACTAAATTTACTTTGTGTAATAATTTCATAATACTGCTGTAATGCACTAATACAGAAAACTCCTAACAATTTGTAAAAGTAAATGTAGTGGGTTAGATGTGGTGGATGTTGGTTCAAACATGCTTTCTGTGAATGCAGCATGAACATTAACCTCTCCCTTAGCTGTTAATCAGATGTTGGTTATAAGGAACAACTGTAGTCTACTCCTGAGCTCTGGCAGTTTGCACTAATTTCTGTTCAAGGTGGCAAAGATCACAGCCTGTTAAGTATTGCAGACCGCATTCATTTCCCCTGGCAACTGGTTAATATAGAATAGAATAGAATAGAATAGAATAGAATAGAATAGAATAATCCTTTAATTGTCCCACAAGGGGAAATTTGGTTGTAACAGCAGCCAAAAAGACACATATACAAACAAACAGTACACAGGACACGGAACAGAAACATACACAATTTTTCTTACATTAAGGACAATGGTTACTATAAACAGAGTACTGTACAGTTATTAAATTAAATAAAAATAACTACAGGTAAGAGGCAAACCAGGTTGTAGTGCGAATCGGTTAATTAACTTATTGCAGTTACAGCGCAGATGTAAACATCTATGTTTTTTGGGAGCAGTTCTGATTGTACAGTACAGTTCTGATTGTACAGTCTGACAGCTGCAGGGAGGAATATAATAATAATACTATAATAATAATATGTATAACTATTAAAGGGTAAGTAGGATCCTCATGGGTTATCTATCGTAGGGTGGACACTGGATGATTGTTTTCCCTCTCTTGTTACAGGCCTACACACTGCTGCTGTCTTGTTGTAGCCTTGTTGTTGCTTTGCTGTTATTTATGGACTGGCATTGACTGGTTCATTGTTTTATGGTGTTTTCATCTTAACTGTTTGTTATATTGTAATTGTGCTTTTAAAAGGAGTTGTATTTTAGAGTGTGTGCATTTGTTCTTGTCTCCTTATATTTTATTTCCTGAGTTGTTTGCTGTTTTGTATGCCACAACTTCTAGGTTCTTTTTGATTTTGCTTTAGTGGCGGCACAGTCGCTTGTTGTGGGGGCTAGGCACGTGTGGTAAAATTCTCTCAGATGCATGTGAATGTACACACCGGGAAATGGGTATAACGCACCATTTAACAGTTTGGTAATGCCAGCCCTGCAACCTAGTTCTTTTTTTTGCAGCTCTGTGCTTTTAGTTTTTTTTTTCTTAAAAGCTTTGCATGTGGTAGAGGGGATACCAGGGGAGAGGCTATTGCATGAGGGAAGCAGGACAGGACAGGACTGAGCCTTAGGACCTATCTCTTTGTGCAAAAAGGTACAGAATAAATGCTGGCAGCCTTTTAGTGGGACTCGTGCTCACAGTACCACACTGTGAAAATCATCTGACATTCTCCAAAGAATATCAGAACCAGACTAGCATCCAGTTCTCCTTAAAGATGAGAAAATGTTCTCATTTCAGGGAAGATGGCTGCTGAAAGTGTTCTTCTCTATATCATCTTGTGCTAGGATTTATCTTCAAGAAGCATCATTTGAATTAAATACAAAAAACAAACAAAAAAATAATTTGTAGTTAGTAAGAAAACATTGACTTTAATTATGTAACCCTGGTAAGATTTACAGCAATCAGAAGTACAGGGTTCTTTGAATGCATCGTAGTTCTTGTTTGATAGTTTAATTTCCGGGCTTGCCCTGAAGGCATCATCTGCAGCTCGGTGCGCGTGAAGGTGTGGTGTAGGGGGGAAAAGGACGGCAAGGAAAAACTCCATGCTGCCGCGAGCACGGTTTTTCCCAGTTGAAAGAGAGAAAAGAGATTCTATTAACATTTGTGAGAGCGCTGTCGTTAGCGGTGAACCACAGACGGGTACCTACCTCAAAGGAGTCGGAGTGTTTTGAACTTTTTGAACTATTCTGGTGAGTTAGCCTAGCTCACTTAGCACCGCTATCCGATTGTTAGGTGATGACGTGAGGAATCCTACTTCCGGGCCTAAAGTAGTCTGCGTTTAATATGGCTTTTGTGTTGTTAACATGTTTAATGTTATGTATTTTCTTCTATTTAATCTCAAAAAGCTCCTAAAACAGTCAGTGATCACTGTTGACCTCCCTCTGCTTTTATTACCGCTAATCATTTATTTAAGCTCAGTTTTTAAAACCTTACGATGTAACTACAGCTAGGGCTGCTCGATTATGGCAAAAATGATAATCACGATTATTTTCACTGAAATTGAGATCTCGATTATTTGACGATATTTATTTAACCCTTTAAGACCTACCATAGAACCAAGTCCGCCAGAGCTTATATTATATTTTTACATGTTGTAGTGCCATTTGTGGGAGCATTTCAAGTTGCTATACAACTATTATAGCCCATATTTTAATAATATGTATGCATTAAGTCCATAGTAACTACATTAATTGCAAAAAAGTGCAATAAACTACAAAAAAAAAATTTTGTTTTTTTTGCATATATTTCTACTTGGAGAAATTTAAGAGGCTTATCCTTCAAAACTTTAAATACAAAAAAGTTGCAAAAAATAGTTTACAACAGGAAATTTATTTTGAGTGTCTTCATAGTTTTATTTTGGAGATACATCAATTTTTATATACTGCAGGAAAAACGAAAAAACAATCCTATGATGCAAATTTGCAAAGAAAACAGCATCAAAATAAACTATTTCCAGCAGTGCAATTCGAGTTCTAAGCATCCCAGAAACTATTCAGAAAAGTCAAACATGACCAGTATAGGCTTTTAAGGCCTACAAGTAAAAAAACTACAATTTCCGCGAAAATGACGTCACTTCCGGTTTCGGGCAGGAAATGGCGGACATGTGACAGTTCGCGCTGACGTCTGTTTAACTGTGGGAAGTGTTACGAACAGCTGATCGGATCGGCAAAGCGTGTTTCTGGAATATTATGTTTTTGTTCCTGCAAGCGCTTTTTATGCAATTTTTGCAAAGCTTTATGTGGAAGGAAACCGTGACCGAGGACAAACTGATGGCATAAGATGTAAGTACAACTCCTCCGGTTTCATATGCAAAACAAATTATTGCGCTAGCTTACAGGTCCAGGTTCTACAGGGATTTAAAAATAGTTATGCAAAACGGAGCGTGCTGCTCTGACCGGATCTAAAGGGTTAACAATGACTTTAAAAAATAATATAAAATAGTGTGCAACACCACTGAAGTTTTTTTTACCTCTCTTTTCAACCAACGGCAGTCACTCTCCTCTCCAAATAACTTCTGCTTAGCTTTCCGAGCTTCCCTCGGGTCCTCTTAATCAGCAGTCTCCAACCTTTTTTGCGCCACGGACGGTTTATGCCCGACAATATTTTCACGGACCGGCCTTTAAGGTGTCGCGGATAAATGAGGGAGGGGCCAATAATCGGCTCAGTCATTTTTAATGATCGTTTAAATCCCAGATCGTAATCGTGATTAAAATTCGATTAATTGAGCAGCCCTAACTACAGCCCATCCCATGCAGCAGTATATGAATGACTAGGTTCAAGGTTCAAGGTTCTTTATTTGTCACATGCATAGTTATACAAGTATAACACACAGTGAAATGTAGCCTGACACGCTCCTTGACATGTGCAAAAAAATTGGGGGGGGGTGTAGAGGAAGAACATTATATATATATATATAGTATATAGTATATACATTGGGTGAATGTGCAGTAGTAGCAGCAAGCAGGTGAATTCTGTACATTAATATGAATAGACATCTGACTATTTTACAGGATAGACAATATAAACATATTTAAAATTAAAGGAATTGAAATGTACATTGTGCCTTGGTTTAGTGTCTGGAAGAGTCCTGACTCAGTCAATTATAGATGATGTGAGAGGGCGGGTGTGTGTGTTTAGGGCACGGATGGCTTGGGGATAGAAGCTCCTCTTGAGTCTCTCTGTCCTTGCCCGGAAGATGCGGAACCTTCTACCAGATTGCAGAAGTTGGAACAGTTTGTTGCCAGGATGGGACGGGTCCTTCAGTATCTGCGCTGCTCTAGTCCGGCATCTCCTGGTGTAGGTGTCCTGAAGCGGGGGGAGAGCAATCCTGCAGCAGCGTTCTGCTGTACGGATCACTCTCTGGAGAGCTTTTTGGTCCTTCACACAGCTGTTCCCAAACCACGATGTCATGTTCTGTGTGAGGATGCTCTCCACAGCGCCTGTATAGAAAATCCTGAGGATCTTTGGAGAGACCCTGAACTTCCTCAGTTGTCGTAGGTGATACAGGCACTGCCTAGCCTTTTTGGTCTGGACCTGAATGTGGGCAGCCCATGTCAGGTCTGAGGAGATGTGGACTAACCTCGTATTGTGGATGGATTATCTCAGTTGTTCTCCTGGCTGAAGTTTGGTCATTTTACAGCATCCTGCCATGCGATTACATTTGTTCCTGACCACCGAGAACACTCACGTTAACTTTTATCGAGTGGAAAAAAGGTTAGCTTGTTTATATTATGCTAACATAGCTGTGTCGCTAGCGGTCACGTAGCACATCATTATATACCAGCTAGCCCAACTTCAGTAACCCTACAAACGTCACTGCTGTTTAGTTTTCTGTCTTCATTTATGCTGGAAGTGATAACAGAGCTGTACGTTTTAATTTGTTTCCAAAACCCCGCAGTCAGGACATGCTATATTGTATTTAGATAGAAGCTAGCGAGCTAACTCCCTGCTAACTTCTAACTCCGTTAAATGTCATAAATTCCGTTTTCATGGATGCCTGGATGTTAAACTCAATTGTTACACCTGGTAGAGCAGAACGCTGATCATTTTATTAAAGATGAAAGACTTTAGACAGTTTTTCAACTCTCAGTAATGCCATAGTGATCATTTGATATATGGACCTACAGCGGAGTTTAGACCCAGACACGGCTAGTGACGTCAGACTGAAGAACCGGATTGCAGTTCAATGCACTGAAAAAAATAACTAACCAGTCAGAATAGTAGTAAATGTGTTTAATGATGTTTAAGATGTGTTTTTATAGTATTGTGACGTTGTGACAGTTTTGTTTATTATGAGTGTCTAGTGTTTTTCTTTTCTTGGGCCTGCTAGTTCAGCCGCGGCCAGCTAAGTGGTTATGCGCAGTTCACGTGCAATAGCTGTGCTGTAGCTGTAACTGCGGGTGATGCACAGTAATACCGGTGTATTTACTTTTAAGGTGTCACAAGATGCAAATTTATTTTAATATTTAAAAAGAACCAAGGACATTAGGAACAAGGACATTTAAGGAATGTGGACATCTAACATTCTGCGTATTTGTGTGCAGACTGTTTTTTTTTTTTTTGTGTGTTGTTTGTTTTTTTGAGGTACAGTTCCATGTGTGCCGAGTGAGGAGCTGGTATCATGAGTCTAAGACACTGTTGCTGTTGTGGAGGCCTTCTGTGTGTCAGGACACCGACACGTTGATGCCTGCCGTACTAGGAGGGCGGTAGGGAAAAAAACAAAAGGAAGCCCACCTGAGAGATACCGTATCATTTTCTTTTGCTACTTTTTCCCCGCCTGAGATTCAGGTCGTTTTCAGTTCTTAACCCAGGACAGTGGGTAACTGAATAAACTGACACCATAAAGAACTGGACACTCACATGCTATTTTCTTTTCTTTTTCCTTTTCTTTGGGGTGTTGAAATATTGTTTCTTGTCTTACATCTATTTTGATTGTTTCAATTATTTTTGTGATGCATTTGAGATAGTTACTGCATTTGAAGTTATCCCTACATTGAGGATGAGTAAAGGGAACTGATCCAAAGGAAATATATATAAAGCAAACTTTGTTTCATAAACCTGTGGTTGTGCGTGTTATGTGGGTTGGAAGTCTTATTGCTCTTACAGAGTTGCTACTGCCAATCTCCTTCCCAAACCTAGATTCGGATATTGTAGACATTGCACTTGGGTGAGCAGTATAGATCATCTCTTTATAGATAGAGGGACACACGTCCAGGTTACAATTACATTGATACTGACATTAATCTATTTTTTTTTGATATATCACCAAGCAAATCATTGAGAGTTTGCAAAGTTTTTGTAGAGTTATTCTTGCACTAGAGTAGTGTGTATGTAAAGAGTTTAGGTTAAGTGGAAAGTCTAAATTAATTATATTGTGTAACAGCGTGAGCAGCATTTGCATATGCATGTGTGATCTGTCATGAAGGATCGAGTGAGAGGCATAGAAATGCAGTACTTCAAATGAAAGTGAAACCTACAATTTAATTAGAATGTATGCAGAATATCCACGGGGAAAAAATAAAAACATCTGGAGAACAGGGAGCACATGAGTGGAGGTTAAAGAATGACCTGAACATGAACAAAGGAAATGATACAAAGGAAGCAAAACTAAATGCAAGACACAGGAGAGAAATGACTACCCCCCAAAAAACAAAAACAAAAAACTGGAAGAGAGAATCATTTGAAACAGGAATACACAGAGATTATAACAATACGTAATAATAATGATAACAATTAACACCAAAGGACCTCATGGAGAGTGAAAAACACTGAGGGAAGAACCTGAAGTCTATTATCAAGACGACATTAACTACAGTACTTGTCATATTTATCTGTAAAGTAACCCTGCATCATTCATCAGTCAGTTTTGTGTAATTTTATACTAAATGAATCAAAATTTGGATGTAGTTCTAGAATTAAATTAGAATTTAGCTGTAATATTTTTTAAATAAACATAGCTTATAAGTGATCAGTATCATAGCTTATCTCTCCTCCTCTCACACACTGAGCACCGACTCCCCACAGTTTCTTTTTCTTCAAAAACAGTTTCCCCACTGTGCAATACCAAATTCTATGTGCAATAACACTATTTATTACATATTACTTTTTAAAACTGGCTTGTATATTTGTATATAGTGCTGCAGAACTGTGCCACCACCCCACCCCACCCCCCACCAAGTGAGTAGGAGATGCTCTGTATCTCATTGTACAAATGTATAGAGACAATAAAGGCATTCTGTTCTATTCTCTTCTATAAATCATGTTAAGCTTGCAACTGTATTTTTACACTCTTTTTATGTGTAAAAATGAATACATTTTCTGTAAATGCATGTAAAAAAACATGTTTATTCATAAGTACACTTCTCTATTTATTTTTTATTAAATCAGATATGTTAATGCAGAGAATATTTCTTGTAATTTTACTGATATTTCATGTGTTTAAAATGACAGGAAAATGCTGTAAAATTTATATGAAAATTCTGAAATTACAGATTTTTCTAACAGTGCAAGTCTGACTTCAAATTAAAATGTTTTAATTTGAGACGTAACAATTATTTCTAACACTCTACTGAAGTTTCAGTTTCCAATTTTTGCATTATTCAGTTGATAAAAACCTAATTTGTACATTTATCAATTTGTCTACCCTAATTAAAAACTTAAACTGTTTAATTAAGGCATTGCACACTGAATCCTTTAAAATGATTACATCAAATCCACACCTCTCTACAGCAATTACTAAGCATTATAACCACCACAAAGAATTTATTGTAGGACTTTTGAACATTTCTTTTTGATGTATCCAACACTCTGACAACTGATGGTAAAAATAAATAATATTATGAAAGCTAATACCTATATCTTTTATTTAGGCAACAATGAGGGTCACAGCAGCCGTACTCTGGACAGCAGCCGTATTGGTGGGACTTCAGAAGAGCACTTCATCACCTGACAACTTTGTAGACCGATCATCCCAAAACCTCTCCTCTGTCCCAACTGACCTGCCACAGACGACTGAGTTTTTAGACCTCTCTCGCAACTACATACGTCAGCTTCACAATGGAGACTTTCAAAAAACCACTCACCTCAGGTTCCTGAATGTGTCATGGAATAATTTGGAGGAGATCGATCCACAGACTTTTCTTAACACGCCTCTCCTGGAACATCTGGACCTGTCGCACAACAATCTCAAGAACCTCTCAAGTCAACAATACCTGCTACACACAGTGAACCTCCTGGTGCTAAACTTGGCCTTTAACAGATTTCTTACCATGACATTGGGGAGTGAGTTCAGCTCTCTTGTAAAACTGGAAAGATTAACAGTTGGCGCAAAAAACATCAGCGTGGGTGACTTCAAGAACATTGCTAAAATGAAACTACATACATTGACGTTATTACTAGAGGATGGACTTTATTATGAAGCAGGCAGCCTGGAGGATGTTCATGCTCAAAGGCTGCAGATAGCCTTTGGACATAATCAAAAAATTGACCGTAATCTGACTGCTGATGCTCTGTCTCTGTTTGCTGAAGTGGAGATGATGAATATGATAAATGGCTACAAAGACCTAAGTAAGCAGCTAAGAGAGACGGTGAAAATCCACACAACGAGTTTTTATCTCACCAACATAACAATTAAATGGCACGACTTAACTGAATATGTAAATGTGGCTCTAAATACAACTTTGAAACATCTTGATGCCTCTGATGTGCACATAATGCAGCCTCCTCGAGTTGAAACAGAAGTGATCAAAACATCACAGGTGATTTCTTTCACAGCCAGCCAGGCAGTGGTAACAAGTTTCTTCTTCTCACAGGAGGCTTTATACAACTTTTTCATCAGCATGCCAGTGGAGAGTGTTGCGATTACTGACACGCCAATAATACACATGACCTGTCCCAAGTCACAGAGTCCAATACGCCAGCTGGATTTTTCTAATTGTGCTATGTCTGATTCCATCTTCTCAAGTGTGGTGGATGATAAATTTGTAGAATGTCAGAACCTGCGTAACCTGAAGAACTTGACTCTGATAGGCAACAGTCTTAAAAAACTTGAGATACTGAGCCAACGTTTTCAATATATGTCGTCCCTGCAACATCTGGACCTCAGCGTCAACTCCATAGGGTATGACCAGTCATCACAGTGCATCTGGCCAGCAAGCATCACCAATATAAATCTGTCTTCTAATAGTTTGACTGAGTCAGTTTTTCAATGTCTACCAAATGGGACACAGATACTGGACCTCCAGAACAACCAGATTTCGGTGGTTCCGCAATCCATCTTTAAACTGAAAAACCTTTCAACTCTGAATCTAAATGCTAACCGGCTGCGGGACCTGCCAGGTTGTGGCACTTTCCCCACACTCCACAAGCTTCTGCTCAGGTCAAATTCTCTCCATGCCCCATCTGTGAACATATTGGAAAGCTGTCCCGAACTGCATATCCTAGATGTCAGTTTTAACCCCTTCACCTGTACCTGCACTCTCAGAGGTTTCATAAAGCTCGCTATCAATTCTGAAAAGAGCAACAGCCAATCAGGAATTAAGCTGCTGAATTGGCCACAGGGCTATTACTGCACATACCCCGAGGACGTTAGAAACTCAACTTTAAGAGACATCTCGATCCCAGAGGTCTCCTGCAGCATTGGCCTTCTAGTGGTTGCAATTTTGGTTCCAGCAGGGACACTGATTATTTCCATTGTGATTCTGTGTCACTGTTTGGATGTTCCCTGGTACACGGGCATGATCTGGCAGTGGACAAGAGCCAAACATCGTGCAAGACTGCAACAAGCTCGGCCCGAGGATCTGGTGGGTCTGGAGTTCCACGCGTTTGTGTCTTATAGCCAGCACGATGTTGACTGGGTGCGCAATTCCCTTCTTCCCAACCTCGAAGGCCCCGCAGGAGGGCTTAGAATCTGTCATCACGAGAAACATTTTGTGCCGGGAAAGACGATCATTGAGAACATCATCAGCTGTGTGGAGAAATGCAGGCGCTCTGTGTTTGTCCTCTCTGCTCACTTTGTCAAGAGCGAGTGGTGTCATTACGAGCTCTACTTCGCCACCCACCAACGTCTCACTCTGGGCTCAGACAGCATTGTGCTGGTACTGCTTGAGCCTCTGCCTCAATACCTAATCCCATCCAAGTACTACCAGCTGAAGTCCATGATGAACCGCCACACATATCTGGAGTGGCCTCAAGACAGGGCAAAACAAAGGTTATTCTGGGCTAACCTCAGAGCTGCCCTACAGACTGACCTGCCCAATGCTCCAGTCACACAAGTACAGGAGCATTGGGCAGAGGAAAGACTTGAAGAGAGACAGGGGTTAATAGGGTAAAAAGAGGCATCAAAAGCATTTGGATACACTGGAAATACATCGTAGCTACCCTGAATCTTTAAAGACATGGTCACCTAATACCCTATCTATTCCATCTATTCCTCTTATCCAATTCAGGTTTACCCTATATCCCAGCTGAAATAGGGTGAGATGCTGGGTACAAGTCACTAGCCTGTCACAGGACTAACACATAGAGATAGACAATCATTCATACTCATAAACACAATTTCGATTCACCATTTAACACCAATAACTGCTTGACTTTGGACTGTGAGAGGAAGCTAGAATACCCAGAGAGAACCTATGCAGACACAGGTAGAAAAAGTAAGCACCACACAGGAAGGCCCCAGTTAGATGGTTGATTTGAACCCAGAACCTTTCTGTGAGGCAACAGTGTTCACCACCATGCCACTCTTCTAGGTAGCATGAATTAAAAGAAGAAATAATAATATAAAAAATATAAAAAATTATAGTTTTTTTTTCTAGTCAATGAAGCTCTGACATGATATACATAAATTATGAAATGTTGATTGATTGATTTACTATTTTATTAGCATTCTATAAGTTATTTAAGTTAAAAACAGGCGATTCACAAAAATTGCGGAAAAATCTTCACCTGTAAACTGTAAATTGCGAATTTAACAACTATGTAGAACACAAGGGGAAATTACTTTACAAGGATATCCCTGACAAGTTGTCTGCCAATTGGAAAGCTGGTGGTTCGATGCTTGGCTGTCAAATTGTGCTTGTTTGGATTCAATAAATCATTGCCAATAAATCATGCCAAAGTATCATTCTGCAAGATATTGAACTGCAATGCATTCACTGGAGTGTGAGTGAATGTTAGATTATATGGATGCCTGCATGTGTTGTACTAAGTGCTTTGAGTGCTCAAGCAGAGTAGAAAATTGCTACATTAAAAACAGTTCGTTTAAATACTGGTACGTTGTAACTGATATCATTTTTTAAATAATGCACTCAGTATATTATTCTCTAGAATGTTCTTTATTAGTAAATATATGTTACACAATGAGAAGGAATTCAGCCGGGTCTAATGAGGTTAGGACATAAGTTGAGTCTGTATATATTGTATATGTTGATAAAATCATCTGTTGATTTGTGCTAATTTGGATTCAACAAATCAGTATCGACATTGCCAAAGATAAACATTATTTTTGTGGGTGTTTTTGGTAAAATTTTATTCCAGGTCTTTCTTCCAACTATTAAATGCAACTATACTAGAGCCTGTTGTTCTACAAATTACAATAACCTTTTTCTTTTTTCATATAAAAATTTCAGTTGTGACACATTTCAAATGATATAGCTATTGTATTAAAATATGTGCAAAGTGACTGGGGTAATGTTTGATGTTGTGAAAGTTGGCCTACAGGCTTCTGTTGTTATTAAAGTGTAAAACTGTGAAGTATTGAAAATTTATCTTGTGTGATGGTGCTATTAAACTGGTCGTCCAGGGAGTAATAAAAACAGATTTTAATGTTGAAGAAAGAGTTATTATCAGGGTCAGTGTCATTTTGCAGTTCCTGCTGTGCAGTGAATTTGAAACTAATCAGTTCCAGACCATGTGTGTGAAATATCAGCTGCCATGGAAGAGTCATGAAGAATCATGCATCTTCTGACAAAAAAAAACCCCTCAAGTTGAATGAGAAACTTTTGTTGTCAAAAATGGTAAGATAGCATGGTCATCATGATATATTAACCAGGGCAGGATGGCAGCACAAAGATGCAACAAAAATGACTCTTTTCTGGTACCAAGGTAAGTTGTTGAGGATATCCTTAACTTTTCAGTTGCTCAACGCTACTGTCAATTGCTGCTGGCCAGCGTCATTGAAACTTTCTTTGAAGTTCACATTAGACTTTAACACTTGAATGAATGAATAAACTCTAGTAGAATGTTAAAATGTAATCAGTTGGTTTACACGCTAGGTAGCCACCGGGAGTGAGCCGGTACATACCTGAGCGCCCGGCCCCAGACACCAAGGACCACCAACGCACCAATGACTGAGGGCATCAGCCAACGACAGATAGTGTGGTGGGGGAGATAGGCCCCCATACCTGGGAGGGCCTGAGATGTTCCCAGAGAGGTGGAGTCTAAGACTAGACCTGACATACAGACACAGACAAACAGGCACACACAGACACAAGTGTACATTCCCACTCTCATGCGCACATATACAAATACTTGTCACTCGCCAAACGTGGAGACAAACATAAATGGACACTGTACACACACTCACAATCCCTAAACATACTCTATACCCTAGGTCCAGGCACCTTCACCCTCAGAGAGGTGATGGTACCTAGACCCAGGAGATGATACCCTGTTCCCTGGGGTGGAGACAAGCAGGCCGCCCCCGCCCCCAGCAGCAGGGAGGCCCCACATCCAGACCCCAATCAGATGGCCAATTCCTCCGTACACCCCCTTCCCCGATGGTAAACAGAGAACGGGGTGTGAATAGAATAGAATAAACCTTTATTATCCCACGGATGAGAAATTTCGGTGTTACAGAACTCTTACAGCAAAGGACAATAAAATATAAAAGGAAGACACAAGGTGGTAAACAAACAAGCTGGTGAGTAAGATGACCAAAAGAATGTTAAGCTGCATTATAGAGTCTGACAGCTGCTGGTAAGAATGACTTGCGGTAGCGCTCCTTCCTACACTGTGGGTGTAAAACTCGACTGCTGAATGAGCTGCTCAGTGCTCATACAGTTTCATGCAGGGGGTGGGAGGTGTTGTCCATGATGGATATTAGCTTAGACAACATCCTCTCCTCCCCAACCTGCTCGATGGACTTCAGCGGACAGTCCAGGACAGAGCTGGCCCTCCTGACTAGTTTGTTGAGTTTCCCCCTGTCCCTCTCTGCCATTCCACCACTCATGCAGACCACAGCATAGAAAATAGGAGACACCACCACAGTGTCGGAAAATGTCCTCATGAGTGTCCTGTTCACCCTGAAGGATCTCACCCGCCGTAGCAGGTGGAGACTACTTAAACCCTTTTTGTAAAGTGCATTTGTGTTTGTGGACCAGTCCAGTTTGTAGTTGAGGTGAGCACCCAGGTATTTGTACTCCTCCACCGTTTCAATGTCCAATTCCTGGATGTTCACTGGTGTAATAGGGGGTGACTTCTTGCTGGAGTCAATCACCAGCTCCTTTGTCTTGCTGGCATTGATGCAAAGATCTGTTCTGTTCGCACCAGTTGACGAAGTCATTGACGACCCCACTGTATTTCCCTCCGACACCTGACCCACAATGGCGGTGTCATCTGACAACTTCTGGAGATGGCAAGTGTCCGTGTTATAACTGTAGTCCGCAGTGTACAGGGTGAAGCGAAAAGGGGCGAGTACTGTTCCTTGTGGGGCCCCCGTGCTACAGACTACCACCTCAGACACACAGTCCCACAGCCTCACACACTGGGGTCTACTGGTGAGGTAGTTAATAATCCATGAGGACAGCTGATGGTCCACTCCCACTCCCTGCAGCTTCCCCCTTAGCACTGAGGGTTGGATTGTATTGAAGGCACTGGAGAAATCAAAAAACATGACTCAGTGTGCACCTGGTGCTCTCCAGATGAGAGAAGGCCCGATGCAGCAGGTACGTGACAGCGTCATCCGCCCCGATGTTCAGCTGGTAGGTAAACTGCAGCGAGTCTAGATCTCTCCCGACTAGTGGGCAAAGGTGGTGTAGAATGATACTCTCTGTTATATTCTCTCTTATAACTTAACTGGTAAGTAACGACGCCTTCTTTAGTTGTAGTAATTTACTTTAATAACCAGTCTAAGGAAAGGCGCAGGCATATCAATGCGCACATACACCACACTTTGTGTTCTCTACTTTGTAACAGAAAGTAGTACCACAAACTATAAACTGATTTTACTAAATACATAACAGTTCCTCCCATCCAACTTTGATGAACACAATAGGTACCAAACAATCAAAATATTTTCAGATAAATGCTGTAAACCAATAATTTAACTTGAACTGAAATATGACACCTACTCAGTGATTTACAACATGGAGGTAGGTTGTTTCCTCTTAAACATTTGAACTGCTTTCCTACAAAATTAACTTGAAACCTATAAGTTCAGTCTCTGAGGTGCTCTGCGATTTCTCTCAGGGTACCGTCTGCCTGTTTGGTCAGACTCCATAGTGCTCTGTGTGGGAAGTTCAGGTGTTTGAGCATTGGTAGTTTTACGTAAATCCTGAACCTCAAGTGGTGAAGCGAGGGCAAACTCTTCTGAATCTTGAGGTGTAGATGTGCTCTCAGGTTGCTGTGGAACCATGTGACTTTCCGCATCTACAATCTGATCAACAGGTCTACGCCAGACTAAGTTGGCTCCAACATTTACAGTGTATGTCAGTGGTCCGGTCCGTGACAGAATCGTGCCAGGCTGCCATTTCTGACTTGGGTCTCTGTAGTCCCTGGCGAGAACTTTTTGTCCAACATTGAAGAATCTAGTTTTGTTTCTTGTTGCTTCCACCATGGAAGACTGTTTATCTTGGACATCCTTGCGAATGTCTGGTTTCAGCAAATCTAGACGTGATCTCAGATTCCGTCCCACGAAGAGCATTGCAGGTGTGTGTCCAGTTGTTGCATGAGTGGCGTTCCTGTAAGCCAGTAAGAAATTGTCTATTTTCTGTTGTAGCGGCTTCCCCTCTGTGCGACTGGCTTTCATTGACCGCTTGAAGGACTGTTGAAAGGTTTGGTAGAAACTTGTGGTAATAATTAACTAAGCCCAAGAAAGAGCGTAGCTGACTCACATTTTTAGGTTCTGGTGCCTTCAGGACTGCTTCAACTTTGTCCTTGGTTTTGTGGAGCCCATGTCTGTTGATCTTGTGTCCACAATACTCAATGGCATCCTTAAAGAACTTACATTTGTTTTTGTTTGCTCTCAGTCCATATTTTTCTAGCCTGGCCAGGACTGCTGTTAGGTTAGCCAGATGAGTCTCCTCATCAACACCAGTGACGATTATGTCATCCAGAAAACACTGTGTTCCTGGAATGCCTTGTAGGACCTGATCCATGGCACGTTGCCATACTGCTGGGGCACTGGCGATACCAAATACCAGTCTGTTGTACTGATATAGGCCTTTGTGAGTGTTTATTACCAGATATTTCCTGGATGTCTCTTCTACTTCCATCTGGAGATAAGCCTGGGCAAGGTCAATTTTTGAAAAGTGTTTGCCACCTGCTACTGCTGTGAATATGTCTTCTATCCGTGGAAGTGGGTACTGATCTATGCGGAGAACTGGGTTCACTGAAACCTTAAAATCACCACAGATCCGCACACTGTCACTTGCTTTCTTGCTTACTGATACTATTGGTGTAGCCCAATCTGACCATTCCACCTTGGTAAGTATTCCTTGCTCTTCCAAGCGTTGGAGCTCTGCTTCAACTTTAGGGCGTAAAGCATAAGGTACAGGGCGTGCCTTGTGGAATCTTGGTTTTGCATTGTCCTCTAGTATGATCTGTGCTTTAATATTTTTCAGGGTGCCGATTCCATCTTTGAACACCTGGGCATGGTTATTAAGGATCTGTTTCAGTCTTTCATCTACAGAATTTGCACTCAGGCCTCGTTCTAGTCTCATTGACTTTATTTCTTTCCAGTTGAGGTGGATGTGTTTCAACCAGTCACGCCCAAATAATGGCACACCTCCATTTTTCAGAACATAAAGTTCCAGGTTGCATTTCTTTTTCTCATATTCCACTTTCACTTTTAGTTTTCCCAGAGGAGTTATTCTTTCACCTGTGTACGTTTTCAGTTTCACTGAGGTGTGCTTCAGTTTCAGATTGGGGAATTTGTTTCTGTAATCTTCATATGAAATCAGTGAGAGAGCACACCCAGTGTCCAGTTCCATCTGTAACTCAATCCCTTGTATTTTAGGTGTGAGCCATATTGCATCATTATCTTTCTCTTGCATTGTGTACAGTTCCAGGCATGCCAAATCCATTCTTTAATTGATTTCGTTTATGAAATCGGAAACGTTCGGCTATAACCAGTGGCTTCGGTTGGAAATGTTTTTGGAGCACTTCTGTGATCTCCTTGAAACTTTTGTCAGCTGGTTTGGTCGGTGTGATGAGGCTGCGCAACAAGTTGTATGTTTTCGCTCCCATCACACTCAGTAACACAGAAACTTTCCTCTCATCCTCTACTTTGTTAGCCCGACAATACTGTTCAACTCTCTCTACATATGTTGTCCAATCCTCTGTGCCATTATCAAAAACGTCCATTTGTCCAACGCCTGCTGACATTTTCTCGGTATTTTTATAAGCGTCCTTCACTTAAAAGAATTGATGTTACTCACGTCCTCTCTTTAGCCAGGCAGGTGAGCTAGCATCCACACGGAGGGTTAGTTGTTTTGGCCCTAACCTTTTTCGTGTCTTTTTGGCAAGGATTTCCCCCTCTCTGTCGTCCAATGCACATCAGGGATCCGTTTTAATCCTCGTCGCCAGTCTGTTATATTCTCTCTTATAACTTAACTGGTAAGTAACGACGCCTTCTTTAGTTGTAGTAATTTACTTTAATAACCAGTCTAAGGAAAGGCGCAGGCATATCAATGCGCACATACACCACACTTTGTGTTCTCTACTTTGTAACAGAAAGTAGTACCACAAACTATAAACTGATTTTACTAAATACATAACACTCTCCATGGTCTTCATTAGGTGTGAAGTCAGGGCAACGGGTCTGATAAACAGGACATTTGCATAATGAGTCACTCTCACAGAAACAGAAATCCTTCTTGAGTCTTGGTAATTCATCAAGTCACTGTGTGTTCTCTGGAGGAGGAAAAGGATTAAAAAAAAAATACATGTAATAAATGAAAACAGACATGAGCAGAAATCTGGTTTTATGAGCTGGCTTAAAATAAACAGAGGCTTAAATTTATATGGCCCATGCAATAAAAGTAAGTCAGAAATACTGCAGGATCCATTTTCCTTATACACACACATAATTAGCAAAACGTGATGTTTTCAAATTAAAAAAAGAAAAATATGGCATCATGATAATGAAACCCACATGAAACATGTTCACATATCAAATGAAATCAAGTGTTATGAAAAGACAAAATAACTACATTTGCTGTACAAAGACAGCCAGTTTTCTGTTATCTTATAGCCAGAAGCTGCTATAACCAAATCAGCAGTGTTCTTTTAGAATTTGATCAAACTGTTCCAGGTGAGATTAGTGACACTGGCTTATAAGATGATATTCAATTGAGCTCCTATTGCTTTTTGCGTAGCAGTCGCTGACCCAAGGCAAGATTGGCACTGCCAGAGTAAAAACATTGCTCGGAACTGGGTTAATGCGAGTGTGTGTCTGTTTATCTGTCTGCACACACACATAGCTTCCCCATCACAAAAAAAAATGTGTTAAAAACCAAACAAACAAACAAAAATGTGTCTAGAGACCAGGAGCAAAACCCTCCTCAAGGCAATAATATACACTGAATCCAATTTCTGGACTTTATCTCCATTTTTTAATATACATTATTGTATAAGTTTCTCTCCATAAAATGCACTGTTGCATAAAAAGGGAAGGTAAAAGAGGATGAAGAGCCTGGGAACTTATTTTTATTTCTGTGCCTGTTTCTGCTCAACTTCATGTTTTTTTTTTACTGTTACTTAGAAACTAAAATTAGCAACTGTTGACTCAGTGCTGATGCTTGCCTTTTGGTCACATTTGAGCCAGACTTCATTTGCTGCTACATGTTCCTCTATCAGTCAGTTTTGTTTGACTGATTTCCATTTCTTTTCCCATATAGAGATTTTGAACCATTGTGACTCTGATATTTTTGGTACTTGAGACTTCAAAATGTGACCATCAGACGGCAACACAGGTTAGTGGACTCTTAACCATCTTTGAATAAAATTGTGTTTTCCTTTGAATTAATGTGAATGTGGTTTTGGGTTTTCTTTATTTTAAGATTTAGATTGAAATAAATAAAATCAAATTCTGGGCAGAATCGACCCAGTAAAGACACCAATCCATCACACTGGGTGGCTCTGTGAAATGTCAGCTGTATAAAGACCTCCACCATGGTACTTCATACTACACCAGAGTCATTAACTGATAGATCAACAAATAAATGGGAGAAAAGTTCTTATTTTTTCATTATCTACTACAGACAATTCTGAAAAAGGGACATCTGTCAATTAACAAAAACTTTGTTTTATATTTGCATGACATCTGACCGATGAGCTACTAGAACCATTTATTTAATTTTACACATTTATTTATTCATGACAGACACATGATGATGATTTCCAAATACCAGATTTTTGTTATCACTCAGATGATAAAAACCTGATTTGTGCTTTTATCAATCCTGTCTTATTTAAACAAGTTTAGAAAGGATACTGTTACACACTGCTTCCTATAAAGTGATCGTTAAGTCAAATCCTTACTTCTCCCCAGCAGTTTCTGAGAATTGTAGCCAACAAAAAGGTAGACAGCATTTATTTTAAACAAAAACTACTCCAAGAGTGCAAACCTCCACTAAGGCAGCTCACTCTCTGGGTAGTTTCTTACTTTTAAGGATATAATATTGTGTTTTGTATATATTTGTTTAGTTTGAAACCCATTTTAATATACCTGACATTTTTTTGAGTATAATTATTTTTTCTTATTTGTATTCATGTAGGTGCAGTACATGTGTGGCATTTATTTTTGTTGTTTATTAAAATTTAAAGTTAGTTATTTGCAATTGACTGGACACAAATCACTTAATCATATTATATGACATTATACTACATTATATATGTCACGAACTTGACTCTGAGCATTATTATTATATGCATTTTGGAGCCAATGCTGTATTGACTCCAAAACTCTTGAAAAGAAAGGCAGATGTGAAATGTAAATGTGAGATCAGAGGTCAAATTTGCAATGAAATTTGGATGCAAACTATAATGTGATCGTTAAAATCCCACAACATCAGTATCTTCCCCTAAATGTTGGCAATACGAACAAAAGCAGTAGAATTTTAAACATATCTTCTGACTTCTTCTTCAGTGTCAGACATCCAAGGTAACGTGATATTTAGAATCTCCTTTTTTTTAAATTTTTGATCAATATTGTTAATTATTATTAAGTTGACCTTGATAACCCTGGTATATGTAACCAAATTATAATGTATTGTTAACATGACTCCACTTTTTAACATTACAAACATTTATCAGAATTTATTCAAATCATTTTAAGCTATTATATATTTACAGACAGAATGACACACAGACAAATGCTACCCGTTTAATGGCTATATTTTCTTATACAAGCTACAATGAGGGTCACAGCAGCCGTACTCTGGACAGCAGCCGTGTTGGTGGGACTTCAGAAGAGCACTTCATCACCTGACAACTTTGTAGACCGATCATCCCAAAACCTCTCCTCTGTCCCAACTGACCTGCCACAGACGACTGAGTTTTTAGACCTCTCTCGCAACTACATACGTCAGCTTCACAATGGAGACTTTCAAAAAACCACTCACCTCAGGTTCCTGAATGTGTCATGGAATAATTTGGAGGAGATCGATCCACAGACTTTTCTTAACACGCCTCTCCTGGAACATCTGGACCTGTCGCACAACAATCTCAAGAATCTCTCAGGTCAACAATACCTGCTACACACAGTGAACCTCCTGGTGCTAAACTTGGCCTTTAACAGATTTCTTACCATGACATTGGGGAGTGAGTTCAGCTCTCTTGTAAAACTGGAAAGATTAACAGTTGGCGCAAAAAACATCAGCGTGGGTGACTTCAAGAACATTGCTAAAATGAAACTACGTACATTGACGTTATTACTAGAGGATGGACTTTATTATGAAGCAGGCAGCCTGGAGGATGTTCATGCTCAAAGGCTGCAGATAGCCTTTGGACATAATCAAAAAATTGACCGTAATCTGACTGCTGATGCTCTGTCTCTGTTTGCTGAAGTGGAGATGATGAATATGATAAATGGCTACAAAGACCTAAGTAAGCAGCTAAGAGAGACGGTGAAAATCCACACAACGAGTTTTTATCTCACCAACATAACAATTAAATGGCACGACTTAACTGAATATGTAAATGTGGCTCTAAATACAACTTTGAAACATGTTCGTGTTTCTGAAATGAATGTAAAGAATCCTCCTCACTACACAACTGAAGTGATCAAAACATCACAGGTGATTTCTTTCACAGCCAGCCAGGCAGTGGTAACAAGTTTCCAATTCTCACAGGAGGCTTTATACAACTTTTTCATCAGCATGCCAGTGGAGAGTGTTGCGATTACTGACGCACCAATGATACACATGACCTGTCCCAAGTCACAGAGTCCAATACGCCAGCTGGATTTTTCCTTTGGTGCTATGTCTGATTCCATCTTCTCAAGTGCGGTGGGTAAAAACGTAGTTGAATGTCAGAACCTGCGTAACCTGAAGAACTTGACTCTGGTAGGCAACAGTCTTAAAAAACTTGAGTTACTGAGCCAACGTTTTCGATATATGTCGTCCCTGCAACATCTGGACCTCAGCGTCAACTCCATAGGGTATGACCAGTCATCACAGTGCATCTGGCCAGCAAGCATCACCAATATAAATCTGTCTTCTAATAGTTTGACTGAGTCAGTTTTTCAATGTCTACCAAATGGGACACAGATACTGGACCTCCAGAACAACCAGATTTCGGTGGTTCCGCAATCCATCTTTAAACTGAGAAACCTTTCAACTCTGAATCTAAATGCTAACCGGCTGCGGGACCTGCCAGGTTGTGGCACTTTCCCCACACTCCACAAGCTTCTGCTCAGGTCAAATTCTCTCCATGCCCCATCTGTGAACATATTGGAAAGCTGTCCCGAACTGCATATCCTAGATGTCAGTTTTAACCCCTTCACCTGTACCTGCACTCTCAGAGGTTTCATAAAGCTCGCTACCAATTCTGAAAAGAACAACAACAACCAATCAGGTATTGAGCTGCTGAATTGGCCACAGGGCTATTACTGCACATACCCCGAGGACGTTAGAAACTCAACTTTAAGAGACATCTCGATCCCAGAGGTCTCCTGCAGCATTGGCCTTCTAGTGGTTGCAATTTTGGTTCCAGCAGGGACACTGATTATTTCCATTGTGATTCTGTGTCACTGTTTGGATGTTCCCTGGTACATGGGCATGATCTGGCAGTGGACAAGAGCCAAACATCGTGCAAGACTGCAACAAGCTCGGCCCGAGGATCTGGTGGGTCTGGAGTTCCACGCGTTTGTGTCTTATAGCCAGCACGATGTTGACTGGGTGCGCAATTCCCTTCTTCCCAACCTCGAAGGCCCCGCAGGAGGGCTTAGAATCTGTCATCACGAGAAAGATTTTGTGCCGGGAAAGACGATCATTGAGAACATCATCAGCTGTGTGGAGAAATGCAGGCGCTCTGTGTTTGTCCTCTCTGCTCACTTTGTCAAGAGCGAGTGGTGTCATTACGAGCTCTACTTCGCCACCCACCAACATCTCACTTTGGGCTCAGACAGCATTGTGCTGGTACTGCTTGAGCCTCTGCCTCAATACCTAATCCCATCCAAGTACTACCAGCTGAAGTCCATGATGAACCGCCACACATATCTGGAGTGGCCTCAAGACAGGGCAAAACAAAGGTTATTCTGGGCTAACCTCAGAGCTGCCCTACAGACTGACCTGCCCAATGCTCCAGTCACACAAGTACAGGAGCATTGGGCAGAGGAAAGACTTGAAGAGGGACAGAGATTAAAGGGGTAAAAAAAGGGCTACAGAAGTATTTGGATACACTGGAAATATGTCATAGCTACCCTGCACCTTTAAAGACCGGGCACCTTTTAGGGTTAATTTATCTCATTTGTTTAATTAGCATTTAATGACCATCTGATATGATTGCAATGTATAAATTATGAAATAACACATAAACTTGTTTAAACCATTCAAGTAACATTTAATGGAAACATCCATACAAACTAACAATTTGATTCAAGATTGTAGCAAAAACATTACCTAACAAAAAGTATCAAAAATGCACTTTAAGTTTTCTGTCATTACTGACTCCGGCAAGACATCACAATATGAAATGTGGTGGTTATTTATGTTACCATCTCAACTTTGTACCACTGATGAAGAAAAAATACACATACTGTAATGTGAAAATGAAAGCAGTTGTCTATCAGTATTGTTGCTAACACTCTAAAAAGAGAAGTTCACTATGAAGGTAAAGAATAAGCCTGCATGTTAAGAGTTCAGTGCTGGCTGAGAAAGACAAGAGAGCTGGAAATGTGTCTGCAGAGAATCAGCTTTCTTGGTCATTAAGTCAGTCCACTTGCATTTAAATTGTGCCTGAAACCTCACAAGATAAAGTCCAGGTGTCAGGGAAGCGACTGGATGATGATTATTTTCTCATTAATGCAGAAACGGTGAAGCACAGCAAGCAAGTTTTCCCCACAACGCGACACCTGCCTCTCCATGGCCAGACGGAAATCCTCCTTCACTCCTTTGGTGATTCCTCGAGTCACTGTGTGGTGTCTGGAAGAGGAAAAATACTTTTTTTTTTAAAAATAAATGCAAACATAGACATGGTCAGAAATAGGGTTTTATGAGATACCTTAAAATAAACAGAGGCTTAGATTATATAACCTATGCAATAAAAATAACTCATAAATACTTCAGGTTACATTTTCCTTACACACACACATAAATCAGACAAACAGCATTTTCAGTCTTTTCAAATAAAACATAAAATAAAACATTCCATTATAATAATAATCAAAACCACATGAAACATGTCCACACATGAAATGAGATCAAGAGTTATGACAAGGCAAAATAACTAAATTCACTATACAAAAACACCAACATCGTCTTCTGTAACAACAACAGTGATGACCACAGAAAGGCGAATAATGGCTCAAATAAACAAACGCCGACAGAAATCAAAGAACGACTAACTCTTGATGTAAAATGACAGGCCCAAATTAAAACTGGGGGATGACAAGCCTTGAAGCTGGGGATGAAGGAAGGGTGACTGGTGGGGTGGTAGGGGCGGGATGGGGACTGTGGGAGGAGGGGCCTGGGGTACCTGTCCATCGTCTGCACCCCTTGTAGCAGGAGAGTATTTAACTCCACCCCCAGGGCAGGGCTAGGGTTCCTGAGGGACAGCAACATTCAACAACTGTCAGTGAGGGTGCATTCAAACGTCTGAACTTCTACAGTAATGAACGAAGGAGTCAGAAAACAGTTTTTTCTTTCTTCACTTAAACCATGAACTCCTTCTCTTTATAAACGCCCACTCCATTTACAGCTTTTTCAGTTTAAAAGGTCAATTTTTCCCACAGGCCTTGTCTATGTAGATCAGTCAGTAGCACTGTCCTCTTTTAAAAGCACACCAACAGAAAGGGAGAGTGCAGTCACGATGCCAACTAAAGAAACGCTCATAATGGGAAGGAGGTTGCTTACTTGATCAGCATTCCCTGATTGGGCAGCAGCTCCAGCTGAATTCTACCTCCTTCTGGAGTACGCAGGTATGCAAACTCTTCCAGCATGTCAATGTCTGAGAAAAACCATGAGTTTAAGGAAACCAACATCCAACACATAAAGGAATCACAAAGAGAACTGTTTATTTACACCAAAATAAAGGCAAGAAATCAAGGCAAAAAGGATACTGGTGACATAGTTGAAGAAATTCTCATACTGGAAGCTGCCTTGTTGGCAGATTTTGTCCACTGCCTTTAAAAACAGCATCTCGCCCTGTGGCCAGTCGTACTGCAGGAGCACCACCACGTGACCAAGGGACAGGTCGTCACGACTGTCGGTGAAGGCACGTAGCTGATTGGCCAAAAAAGGGGGAAAAAAGGAAACAAAGATTGTCACAGTCTCATTAAGCCTTACAGCACGGAGCATGTCTCCTCAAAGTCTGCATAAGAAAACGTATCCAAGCCCTTGCACCCACTTATTTCCACAGATGTATCCTGTCTATGTACCTTAAAGCAGGCAAGCATCAGCTGGAGACAGAACGGCAGCACAGATTTGCTGGTGCATGGAAGTAATCGCAAGTCATTACCTGGTTAAAACCAAAGAACAGGGAATGTTAACAGTACTCAAAGCAACATATAAATATAGACGCCACAAACGTATTCATATCTCAGATTAGCGGAAAAAAAATAAATCAAAACTGTTCATGAACAGAATCAGTGAGTAGATTCAGGAAACTTTTACCTTTCCTCGTTTTGGTCTTGACTCTAACCGGATCCTCTGGGGTCTTTGGTGCTTCCTGGTTTGGGGGTACTAGGCCACTGACAACTTCAAGCAGCTTCTCACAGGCCATCTGTCAAAAGAAACAGCACCATACAAAACTATTACATACAATTTGACTGGACAAAGGACATGTTGTTAGGCTAAGAAACTTATACTAATATAGTAAAACTGACTAAATGACAGAGCTGTGATGGACCAGGTCTGTCAGCTTGGTTTAGAGAAAATTGAATAAAAGTGATGCAAGTTGTTCTAAACACCTGAATTTAATCTAGGACATTATAACCCATTTTAACTGTAGTGCCACCTTCAGGCCAGTTGGTGTCACTGATTTGTTTTTCATACATGGCCTGCAAAACATTTTATTATACAATCACATATTTTAAGTAAATATATATGTAAAAAAAAAACAAACAAATAAATTATATATGACCAATTACAAATCAAAAGTTTCAATGTGAATCAATAAATGTTACAGTAAAGTATATTTCCTGCCAGCTGTGCTTTCATAAAATAAAAATAAAAAAGTTGAAATATTCAATCAATTACTGTCTTTATTTTCTTTATTTAAGTTTTCTGCCTTAATATTGTGTGCACATTCCCAAATTCAGTTCATCACTTCTCTCAGCTACATTTGTTTTAAAACATACTGTATAAATACATTTGACATGATTTATGAAAAAGAAAGGCATATAAGCATATGCATGTCTCCTGACAAAACCAAAATAATGTACGCTAAGAGTGTGTTTGTGTGCATGTGTATACCCTGTACTCTCCCAGGGTGTAGTGGCAGGATGCCTGCTGTATGAAGGCCCTGTGGTGCTCCAGACTGGCCTGACCTGAGGGACTCTGTGGCCCAGGCTGAGGCTGCTGCACTGCAGCCATCTGGTGCAGGCTAGAGAGGGCCTTGCGGTACTGTCCCTGGAGATAATACATTAGCACATAATCAGTATATAACCAAAGACAACTTAGAAAAGATATTATATCCAAATGTTGATTAATGTGTTAGCTTAAGTGTATTTAAATTATATTAAAATAGCCAGTTTCATCTGCCAACTTCAACCAGTTTTATTGCGTGCATTTGCCTCATTCTTTAAATTCTATATAACTTAAAATGTACACTCTCCAGCCACTTTATTAGGTATATCTGTAGGTCAGAGGCGAAGGTCCAGATGGCTTTGAGCTGATAGGAAGATGATGGTAACTCAAAAAACCCCAGAGAGGATCATTTAAAAGTCACAGCCTAACTGAGTACTTTTGCTGACCATCTCCATCCCTTTATTGCCACAGTAGCCATCTTCTGATTTCTCTGGTTGTTTCCAGCAGGATAACATGCCATGTCACAGGGAATTTTTGAAGGCAAAGTGGTCAGTGAGTGCCTGCATCTGTATAATCTGTTCTTTCTTATGCAATAATTGCATTTCCCAACGTTGATCGGGGCTATTTAATTCAAAGCAGTATTAAAATGATGGCATATTTTGATCCTAAAGCTAAGATAATAAGCTAAAGATGCTGCTGCTAACAAATAAAAGGGATGCAGATGATTTGTCACAAACAGAAAAGGTAAATTAAAAACGACTCTTGCCTGGTATATAATCATGTCGGTGAGGAATATTCGGAACCACAGCCAGCTGTCTGTCTTCCACGCGGCGCAGATCTTCTTGAACTCTTTGAGAGACATTAAAATGTACAATTTTCAGCTGTTCTGATAACAACCTTTTGATGTAGTGACAACATGACTGAACATAAAAATCTCCTACCAGCTTCCAGACCATCATGGGAGTGAAGAAGGTCCCAGCTTTCTCTCGCTGTGCGAAAGCTCTCCAAAGTCTCTGACCAGTTGGTCATGTCATTCTTGTTTACTAAAATGTGTCGACCACGGCCTTTCCCCAAACCTTCCTCATCATCTGAGCTCTATAATGACACACAGATCCAAATATAATCAAAAGAATTTCCCAATCTGGGATAATTAAAGTGTCTTACTTATATCTAAACTTTTCTCACCATAGTCTTCTCTCTTCCATCTGCTAGTTTGCGTTTCTTATGCGCATGTTTCAGTGCTCCTCGCTCCACCTCCACATCACTGTACACTGAGCTCAAATCCTCTACAAGGATCCACGGCCCGGAACTTAACCCACTGATTCCTAAAAAGAAAAAAATAACACTGAAACCTATTTGTAACATTTTACTCAAAAGATTACCATAGATATATTAAATGAAGATGGAGATCTACAAAGGTAGAAGCTAACCGTGGAACAGTGCAGGCTGTACAGCTGAGACGTAGAAGAAGGCACTACGGAAGAGGACAAGTGCAGCGCAGATGACCACCTGACTGCAGCACCGGGCCCTCGTCTCTCCTTCTAGACCAGGCAGGTAGCGACACAGCTCCTTCACTCTCTGCAGCATCTCAATATAACTCCTACAGTGCAAATAAACACATGAAAACATTCCTTTGAAAAATTTAATTTTAAATAATCCCTTCAAAGTCATTGAACGATCCACAT